TCTATTCTATTCTATTCTATTCTATTCTATTCTATTCTATTCTATTCCATGTCACTTTTTTCAGTGCCATTGTAACTTTAAACGGTCACTAAATGAACTGTTGTACATCAAGAACTACTTGTATAGACAGGGCTTGTGACTTCCTGAGGAATGGTGTTGCAATTGTATGCCTAACAGAAGCACAGTAATGGATAATTGCAATAACCAGACTCTAATTAATGCAAAAGAAGAATTAGAATTCTTTTATTGGCCAAATGTGATTGGGCACACAAGGAATTTGTCTTGTTGCAAATGCTCTCAGTGTACATAAAAGAAAAGATATATTCGTCAAGAGTCAAGAATCATAAGGTGATTAATGATAGTCATAGAGTACAATAAGCAATCAAATCATACTAGGAAACAGTCAATATAAATCGTAAGGATACAAGTGACAAAGTTACAGTCATACAGTCACAAGTGGGAGGGGATGGGTGATAATGAGTGATGGGAAGATTAACAGTAATAGTAGTGCAGATTTTGTAAATAGTTGGACAGTGTTGAGGGAATTATTTGTTTAGCAGAGTGATGGCGTTTGGGGCAAAACTATTCTTGTGTCTAGTTGTTCAGCTGAGAGAAACAAAACAAATACAAGGGATGCCTAACTTCAAGAAAGAAAACAGAATTTTAATTGTTCTGGCACTGAAACCCTAGGCTATAACTTTTCACCACATTTTGTCTCACTTGGGTTCCAGCTTCAGTAATAGCTATGAACTTAATTCAAATCTATGGGTGGCAATGCTAGAAACTCAGGTTTTGGCTACTTTGAGCGGGCATGCATTTTGCTAATAGCAAAACAATATTCGAGAGGCTTCACTGAAGCAACTTAAAGTGAGAATTCAACTGGTGGTTGGGAACCTTCTGTTCCCTCAGAATTATCTAGCTCCACTTAGCTGTTTCTCTATAGCTCCACACTTCCCCCCCTCCCCCCAAAAAAAGCTTAATTGCAGCCACTGTCCCTTAACAAGGGTAAGCATGACATCATGACACTGCAGGCAAAGAGCTGGGGACAAAAACACGTCAAGTCATTTGAATTGGAACAATAAGACAGTTCCTCAGTTAAGATCAGCATCAAAGCATCCCTCCAGGCCCGGCCTAGTTTTGGTTATCCCTCTGGTCCTTGCCCCCCACCTCCATTTGCTATTGCAAGAGAACAACCCTACCGTCAGGTCATAGCCTTCTTCTGAGCGATCCAGGAGAAAGTTGCAAACAACACGTTCTAGGTAAATGTTAGCTCCCACCAAGGTCAGCAAAATGAGCCTGGAGATAAAAGGGGGGAATAAAAGGCCATTATGAGAAAGCGTGGAATATATTTCATAGTCTATATGTCCATGGCTTACATTCACAGAAGAATGGATTCTTATGGTTTTGCACAATTATACATTTGGACAATTGCAGCTTCCTTTTGAAAGGCAGCTCATTTTTAGTCCTGATATATATGGAGAAGAAGTTCTGACATACAAAATTGAACTGCCTCTACCAAGCTTTGACTAAACCTACTGAAGATGATACCTCATTGGCAATAGGTGAGATGCCAACTTTGGGACAGTGTTTACATGTGTTAAATGCTGAAAACATGACTAACCCTATATAAATAATAACTGCAATGTTTTGAATAAACTTGTCCCTACTTCCCATTCATTGCAGGTACCCCACTATTTCCTCATCTGCTGTCATCCACAAAGAGGGGGGAAAGCTGAATCTTCACACAGGCTGTCCTCAACGTATGACCAATTGGGCCCAGATTTTCCATTTGCTAAGCAAGGTGGTTGTGAGTTGCACCTAGTTTTATGACCTTTTTTTGCCACACTTAAGTGAAGTAATTTTTAACACACTTTATTTGTTACGTGAATCCTGCAGTCATTAAGCAAATCCAGTTTTGCTGATCAGAAGTTGACTGCGAAGATAGCAAATGGCGATCATATGATCTCAGGACGATGCACCCATCATAAATATACACTGGTTGCCAAGTGCCCAAATTTTGATCACATGACCATGGGGACCAGTCAAAAATCACTTTTTCGGCCCCGAGACCTCTAATCATTCGCTTGACCGGATAAAACTGCGGAACAGATCGAGTATAAACCAGACTCCTTTCTGCTGGGGATTTTCGATAAACAACTATCAAAAAAAGTGAAGTACATAACAATACACATATTAACAGCGGCCAGATTAGCTTTTGCCCAATGTTGGAAGCTCCCTCATATACCTACAGAGGAGATGATCACCCAAAAAATTTCAAACTGTGCAGAAATGGACAAATTAACTTTAGACTTAAAAAATAAAGATACTTCAATATACTATAATAGTTGGAATTGCTGGTATAAATGGTTAGAACAAAGACAGAATTTATATTATAAGGCAAAAAGAATAGGACAAATTCATACGAGTGACATATAAATATACATATGGATAAGGTGTGCGTAGATGGCATAAACTAAGGAAAGAAAAGATCTTATAAACTGTAGAAAATGAGAATGTTTTTAATCGTTTTCCATTCTTTTTTCTCTTTCTTTTTTTTCTATTCTTTTTTGCTTTTCTATTTGTGTGTGTGTTGTTGATTTGTTTTTAATTGTAAAATCAATAAAATTTGTTTAAAAAAATAATCACTTTTTTCAATGCCATTGTAACTTTGAACAGTTGCTAAACAAATGGTTGAAAGTTGAGGACTACCTGTACTAAATTTTCACTTATTGCAGTCTGATGATATGACTGCTGAACAATTGTGGGGAAGGCAAGCAGTGGAATTGCCTTACACTGAGCTAGAGCTTTGATCTTATTGCCAACCCTAATTGACAGTGGCTTTCTGAACTTTCGGAAGCAGGTAAATCCTAGCAATACTTGGAATTCCTTGGAATTAAAACTAGGGATGTTTAGCATTCAAAATAAGATCCTCTACAGCTCCTCTTTTGCAGGCTTATCAATTCTACCAGAAAAAGAAGAGCATATTTATTATGTGACCAAATTACTTGGGTTGATTATGTCAAAGGCTGTTTGATTTATTGAAAATATTTAGATAACTGCCCATCTTAGGCAACATAACCCTGGGCAGCTCACAAATGGCAACAGAAACAATTAAAACATTTTGCACCACTTCTTGTTGCACCAAGAATTACACTTCAAGGAAAGCTTGAACCCTCCACCTGCATTCGTGTGATCCAATCATTTTGAGTGAGACAGACAGAACATTAAACAATCCAAGAGCATTTGATGTGGTCTGTTCTGTTTTGTTTTTTCCCTCACCGAGCTCTTGCAGTTCGCTGGCTAGAGGTCAGCAGCAGGGCTGTTACACCGCTCAAGAGATGGAAGAAGACAGAATAGAGAGCATTGGATTCCCCCACTACAAAGCGATGTAGGAAGGCCACCCGATTAAAGATCTCTGCAAAGGCCACGCGTTGCTCGATGGCCGAATTCTGTAGTTCTTGGAAGGCCCGGTGTATGCCTGCAGAAGGGAGAGGAGGAAGGACAAGAAGTCATTGCCCTCCCAGACAAACTGGGTATCTTATTTGGGCCATTCAATACTGGTCTGCAACCGTAATAAAAACGGATTATTTGGGCCACTTATAGATACTGCCATGAATTTGTTATCTGTCTTTCACACACTGATTGAAAGCATAAGTACATATAGATGAGGGGGTGCCAGTTTCTCCTAACCCGGTGTAGTTCCTGTTTCCGTAATGCCTTAAGTCAGATGCTGGCTCTCAGGAGATGGGACCAGAAGACAGGACTTTTCGGTGGTGGCCCCCGACACTTTGGAAAACCTCACCTTCAAAGGTGCACCTCACCCTCTCACTATTGACCTTACATAAGGCTCTGAAAACTATTTTACATATGGTCACAGGGCCAGCCTTCATTCTTCCTTTACACTGTATGGTTCTTATATACCGGGAGTGGTGATGATGGATTTCATGGAATTTAGATTTTTGTACTCCAAGAATAGGAATCTTTGGATGGCAAGAAACTTCTTATACTGATTCAAATCGGTAGTCAGAACTTGCGACTTGGGATAGCTGTTCAGGATTTCAAGGAAGAGTGTTTCCTATCCTATATGGGGATGGCAAGGGAAGAATCTGGAATCTCCTACATAGAAAGGCCATTTCTATCATTGAACAAGGCCCCTTGAACAGTTGAGGTTCACTGTCTGTAATACCTAATTCCTCCGCACAAATTTGCAACCTCCTCATCATTCTCAGCCAGTCCTTGTCAGAGCCTGACAATCATATTCTTTCTTCCCATCCATTGTGCATTATATCCATTCATGGAAGAATTAATTCAGGCAAGGTCAACAGCAAAAATCTCAAACCAGACAGGCCTGTTACAATACTAATGGCCAGCTATCAACCGTTCTGTCTATCTAAGCCTAAGCACCAGGCTAGAAATCAGGAGACTAAATTCTAGTCCCACCTTAGGCTTGAAAGCCAAAGTGTTTGGGGCCAGACTCTCTGTTGAGGTAATTCACCGTTAGGAGAATGAGCGCACACAGGGAGACGTAGTGAGAGTAGTGAATAATAACACACACACAGCACACAACCACACTGTATAGTAAAATGTAGGTTTTTACTTCCAGTAAAACAATTAAGCAAAGTTCAACAAACACAGTCCAAGTCATTCATGGTTAAAGCAGTCAGTTTTCAGTCCTGGGATAATCCAATAACAAAGTCCAGTATCAAAAACAGTTCAGTAATAGACTCACATCAAATCAAGACTAACGATGATCAGCAACAGTCAATGCAGGAACAGCAACGCTCTCCATAAAAGGACAGGACTAAACAACCCAGGTTTCTGGCTCCATCTTATGGCCGTTTGAGGAACCACACCCAATTACAATTTTAGCATTCCCTTAAAGAGACAGTATTAAAATGTCTATCCTGGTTGATATATTTTCCAACCCAACTGTTAGGTGACTTACATTTCCAACACTCTCTCTCGACAATTGCCATTGTTAAGCAGTGAGGTCACATGATATTGCAATTTACACCCTTGTATTTTAGCAGTGGAAATCCCAATTCTAAGGACCGATAATCAGTATGAAACAAGTTCTAAGCTGTCAAGTTTTGCACTGATTTATAAATCTCTTGTCCCTTTCTTTGCAATGTTTTTGAATAGCATAATCCAGGCAAGGAAATAAGTAGCTTGGAAAACTTTTTCCTATATGAAATTAATTTTTACATATCTGTATCTTAAATGGTACATTTCTATGATGTATCAAATCCCAAACACGTGCGTTCTGACAGATTTACTCAAGTCAAAATCTGCCCTGCAACATTTTGAGAAGTGCAAAATCAAAAAGGTCATTGATTTGCAATCCACTAATTAGCCCAGCTGGTCTAATGGATCACGTCTGGCTTGCATTCAGATTCCCAAATTACCAGTCTCTTAAGTTGCAAACCATGGGTTGGAAGCAATTGAGCGCCTACTTAAAAAAAAAAACTTATTACAGCACTTTAAAAAAAAGCTGAATAAGAATATCAAAATTTGCTTCTCTAGACATATTCTTATGAGCTTGAAAGTGGTGTCAGAAGTTTTTTGACTCAATATACTAATGCTGTAGTATACTCCAGTAGTTTTAAGAATGGAAACTCCTGCCATATAACACAAGATGTTTCTGCAAATTAACAGGGCTGTATCTGTAGGGATGATCTCTGTAATATAGAATAAAATAGAATAATAGAGTAATAATAGAATAATAGAGCTGGAAGGGACCTTGGAGGTCTTCTAGTCCAACTCTCTGCTCAGGCAGGAAACCCTATACTATTTCAGACAAATGGTTGTCCAATATCTTCTTTAAAACTTCCAGTGTTGGAGAATTCACAACTTCTGGAGGCAAGTTGTTCCACTGTTTTCATATCTAGCTATCAGTGCAAACTGATAGGTGATATTCAGCAGGTCCTGACCAGTTCTGTAGAACCAGTAGTGGGAGAACCAGCAAATACCACCTCTGACTGAAGATTTTACAGTATCTTTCCCCTGCCACACCCACCAAGCCACGCCCATAGAACCGGTAGTAAAAAAAATTGAATCCCACCACTGGTGCAAACTCTTAAAAGGAATAATAATGCAGCTTTGTACTCAAGTCACCTTGGGAGGAGTCACGGAGCATCTGCCCTAGCAGCTCCCCATCGCGCAGGATTTGCTCCTGAGAGCGCAAGGTGGCATTTTGGATCCGAGCAGTCTCTTCTGCAAGCTGATTGGTAGATTCCAGCTGATGGGCCACCGTTTCTGAAGAGGAGATCAGCCTGATATAAACCAGAGATAAAGAAGGAAGTAATTCAATCCGGTCCAAGGTAAACCATCCACCATATTCCAAAAAGTTCTTCTACCTGAAAGGGTTCTTATTGAGTTGCCTACCCAGAAGTCTTGGCATTTCAGTAGCAACATGGCCATTGGCATGAAAACAGCAAACGCCTGACTGTGGAAACATTGCAGCCTGCACTAACTGCATTCAAAGCTTCACAATCACAGAGATAAGCACGCTTCACTCAGGTGACTAGGAGTCAAGCCCAAGTGACCCTTTCCTCCTGTAATGAAGGTCGACTACATTGACAATTATTACTGTACCCCATTACTATTTTTCCTCCAAGCAGGGTATTTGTGTTTTTTCTTGCTTCCAAATTATGTTCTTGAAAACCGACAAAGGCTTACGTGGAAAAGGAGATGCATTTATCCATTATTCAAATCTGAATCTTGCATGCTATGCAAAAAGAAAACATTGAAAAGTGGATCAGAACCTTAGAAGTACCCATTGGCATGGATAAATTGGGATGGGGACTGCCAGTATTCCCAGTCAGCATATGCCTTGATTTATTTTAAGAATTAAATATCTCTGGATGGGAGATATCAAACATGTGAATAAAGAATTGATATGGCTAAGCAGAGACTTGGAAGTCACTAGACCTTCTCTTTTGGTACAGATTCACCAAATGGAACGTGGCCATCCTATGTACAGATATTTGAAAATAAAGACAACTGAACCAGGGGTGGGATTCAAATTAGTTAACAACCGGTTCTGTGGGCGTGGCTTGGCGGTCATGTGACTGGGTGGACATGGCTTGGTGGTCATGTTATTGGCTGGTTGTGGCCAACTCAACATCACTCACATCGAGGCACGCATCTCCTTGCCTGGCCTCTCGTGACTGTGGGGATGCTGCAATAGTCGTAACTGTGAAAAATGGTCATAAGTCACTTTTTTCAGTGCCATTGTAACTTTGAATGGTCACTCCACACAAGCAAAGTACTAGCAAAGGGGGAAAAAAAAACTCCAGAGAAGTTCCTGAGACAGGAAGTCTAGTCTTGTCAAGAATGTAATAAGGGTTAACGGAGAGGCAGTTTCTGTAAGCAACACCAGAATGTTTCCTTCCTGCCTTCCTTACAGGATTAGGTCAGTAATTTCTTCTAACAACTGGTTCTCCGAACTGCTTAGAATGTTAACTGGTAGAATCCCACCCCTGAACTGAACTCTATGGACTAATTTCTGATTAGGTGTAGTTCGTGTTTCTCTCTTAAAAAGAAAAAAGGGGGTTGCATTTTTTAAATATCTGCAATGGAATAAAGGATTATTACATTTAATTTTTTCCATGCTGTAAAATGAAGTTGGCATTTATAGTGTCCACTATGTGCTCATGGATTATAGTTTATAAATCCTAATCTACACTAGGGTTTATAAGCTATAAGTATTGGAGTGGAAATTGTGGCCTGCTATATGATGACATCCAGCCATTATTGCCTGTGTTCCATGTATCCTTTCCTCAATTATCTAAGCCTGAGTTGAGGTGTTAATTTCTTTTCCAGATTGTCACTGCCAATTTTAATTACATACAAAGGCAGGAACCATAAAGGAGCAATTTCACTGTGTCCCCTCCCTCTTAGGTCACAGATTGCTAATTACACCCCAAGTAAAAAAGCCAAATTATAGCTTTGCTCACTGAGCTTTTCCCCTCTTTACACAAAGAGACTTTTTATCTGTTTTCACCAAGTGTCAGCTAGATAAAGAATGATGCTAGGAGATCTGATGGGGTGTGCTTCTCACATTAGATAATCTGTCCTTCAGAAAACAGCCTATAACTGGAAAACACTGGAATGACATTGTCATTTGAGGGCTCGTTCACCTCTTCTCCCCATGTACCGTAAATGTGGGGTATTACACTGAGTACTGCCAGTTCTGATGGTTGGAATGAAATTCTGAAAGTTGTACAGACCTGGCAGGGAGAGAGTTATCAAGTACATTTCTCAGGTCTGCGGACTTCCAGTGGTTTACCTCTTTCTTCCCACAGCAAGATAAAACTTTGTAATTTGAACAGTGGCATGCAATGAAAACATTTTGCCGGGCGGCAAAAGACAATTCAACAGACAAAGAACATTGTTTAATCATTTCCTTTTTAAGTATAGTAGTCACTGCCAGTAGTTTGCAAAAACAAGGGAAAGAAGGAGGCTCTGCTACTGAACAGGTATTTTTTGCAAGCTTAACTCTCTTCTTCTTCTTCAGAGAATACTAGGATGTCCCCTGTTACGAACTAACTAAATAAACTCATTATTAAAAACTCTTCGAACTTCGCTCCAACTGCAGGCTCGTAATCCTGCACTTCGGATTGGCCCGCAAGTAAGCGATCAATGATTGGCTGCCTTTGGCTAACCTGATTGGCTGACAGCGGCCACCCCTGATTGGAAGACTAAGTGCGGTTAAACTCGTTCCCATTGGTTATTGCAGCAGCAGCCAGCTCTATAAAAGAGCTGCTGCTGCCCAAGTGTTTTGCTCTGTTCTGATGTCACTATTAAAGAGTTGAGTCACTACCGATGCCTTGTCTCCGTTATTGCGCCCACTCCTCCAGATCTAACACTGGCGACGAGGGTGGGATGCGGAGACAATAGAGCCAACTGAGCACTCGCTGTGCACCGAACAGAGCACGTGGCTGAAAGAGTGTCAACAACGGCAAGATGGCCAGCGGCGCCATACCACCCGCTCCATTTGACCCGGCTAACGAAGACTGGGACTCGTATATGGACAGGTTCCAGATGTTTTTGGAGACCAACAACCTGAAGGACGCTTCGCCTGGCAAGAAACGAGCGGTCTTCCTGACCCATTGCGGGCCTGCCGCTTTTAAAATGGCTACGGCACTTGCAAAGCCTGCAGAGGTTAAGTCAATGGATTGGGATAACCTCGCTCCTATTCTTCGGGTCCATTATGCACCCGCGGTGCCAATCCTCATCAGAAGACACGAATTTTACCAGAGGGACCAACGGAAAGGCATTGGAGACTTCATCGCTGACCTCCGGAACCTGGGTGGACTCTGTGGTTTTTCAAACCTCGAAGAAGCTATGCGAGACCGCATAGTTCTGGGATTAGATGACCATACGGCGCAGAGCAAGATCATGGCCAAAGAGGACATCGATCTTGCAGATGTCATCGCTGATGCTACTGCAGCAGAGGCAACCAGGAAGTCGGCCACTGGAATGCGCCGCACCAACGCACCGCTCCGTCAACTCGCCAATGATACTTCGCCTTTCCCAGAAAAGCACTCAACAACGGCGCACCATGAAGACCTCGAATCCCCATCAGATAGTGAGGAAGAAGAGGTCAACCGACTCCGGTCAGAGCGCGACCAGCGAGACCAGCGAAGCCAAAAACCTTCACGTCAATGCGCCGGTTGTGGGGCAAATCACCCGCGAGCTGATTGCAAATTCCTCGACGCACTCTGCCGTTCCTGTGGAAAGAGGGGCCATATTGCCAAGGTCTGCAGGAGCAAGCGGGGGGCAAGTCCAATCCGTAGAGAGAACAACTCCCGCCAAGCTACGGACAGCCCGCCCGTGAACCGGGATCGCCTGAATCACCAATGGAACCACTATCACTACAGAAATCGAGCACCTGCTGCGTCAGCTAGACGAGGAGAGACGCATCAAACCATCACCATCGGTCACGCCTCATCCTTGGATGCAAGGAAGATCCGAGTGAGGGTCGCCATTGAGAATCGTCCATGCGTAATGGAAGTAGACTCGGGTTCATCCCTATCAATGGTCTCATGGAGGACTTTCAAACAGTTGATCCCTGACATCCGTCGTCAAGACCTCAGCACCCAGAAAGTCATATTAAGGGACTACCAGGGAAACCGAATTCCCGTTGCCGGGTCCCGCCACGTCCAGGTCTCCTTTAAAGACCACACCGCAACTCTGCCTCTTACCATCGTCGATCTAGACCGGCCCAGTTTGTTGGGCTTACAGTGGTTCGCTCCATTGGGGATTGAACTAGCCGGCATTCACCAGACCGGGAGCAGTGACTGGGAAGCCGCCCTCGTCCAGGAGTTCCAGGACGTATTCACAGAGAAGCTAGGCAAGTACAAGGGATCCCCCATATTGTTTAGCCTCAGCCCCGATGTTACGCCCATACGCCTTAAGCCTCGTCGAGTGCCTTTCGCACTCAAGCCAAAGATTGATGAACAATTGGACAAATTGATAGCCCAAGGGGTGTTAGAACCGATCGATCACGCCCGTTGGGAAACCCCGATTGTAACACCCATAAAACCGGATGGATCGATAAGAATTTGTGGGGATTACCGAGCCACCCTAAACCACGCGCTTCAGCAAAGCGCTTATCCTGTACCGGTGGTTCAACATCTTCTTCACTCCCTGGGCGGCGGAAAGATCTTTGCAAAATTGGACCTTGCCCAGGCATACCAGCAACTACCCGTAGATGCAGAGACTGCTGAGGCCCAGACTATCGTCACGCACAGTGGTGCGTTTAAATGCAATAGGCTCCAGTTCGGTGTGAGTGTAGCACCAGGCATCTTTCAAAGCCTGATGGAGCGATTGCTGCAAGGCATAAAAAGGGTCGTGCCTTATTTCGATGACGTCTTGATAGCTGCCCCCACTAGAGACGTGTTGGAGACCCGACTCAGAGCGGTTCTCCAAAAATTCAAAAACGCCGGGTTAAAGGTAAAGAAAGACAAGTGTCAACTTTGTACTGAGAGGGTTGAATTCCTGAGGTACCTCCTTGATAAAAAGGGAATTCATCCTACCGAAAAAAAAGTAACAGCCATAAAAAACGCCCCCAGACCTAGGAATAAAACGGACCTCCAAGCCTTCCTGGGACTCATTAACTTTTATAATATCTTCTTGCCCCAGAAGGTGACTGTAGCTGAGCCCCTACATCGTCTGCTAGACAAGAAAGCTTCCTGGGTCTGGGGACAATGGGAAGAACGAGCGTTCCAGCAAGTAAAAGATCTCTTGACCTCCAATGCTGTATTAATGCAATATAACGAGACTTTGCCTTTAACTGTCACGTGTGATGCCTCGCCGTTCGGGGTGGGAGCCATTTTAAGCCATGTTCTACCTAACGGCAATGAGGCACCTATTGCTTTCTTTTCCCGAACATTATCAAAGACTGAAAGGAACTATAGCCAACTCGATAAAGAGGCTCTTGCTATTGTAGCCGCTATTAAACGTTTTCATGAATATGTCTATGGACGGCCGTTTACTATAATAACCGACCACAAGCCATTGCTTGGCATATTAGCGGGGGACAAGCCTACTCCCCACATCTTATCACCAAGGATGACCTGTTGGTCAGAGTTTCTAGCCGCATACGGTTATCAACTGCTACACCGCCCGGGGAAAGCCATTCCCCACGCTGATGCTTTGAGCCGTTCTCCGCTGCCGGAAGCCATAGACGATCCAGCTCCAACCCTTACTGCGCTCCAGATCGAAACTCTCCCTTTGCCACCCCTGACTGCACGAGACATCGCAGCGGAAACAAAGAAGGACCCCACATTGGCTCGGGTCCTCAGCTGGGTGGAACGAGGCTGGCCTGACAACGAACCCGACAACATCTTCACACCATTTAAAAACCGACAGACAGAGCTGTTCTCACAGAAGGGCTGCGTTTTGTGGGGAGACAGTCATCATTCCTGAAAAATTACAACACAGCGTCCTAAAACTATTGCACGACGGTCATCCAGGCATCGTGCGGATGAAGGCGTTAGCGAGAAGTTACACGTGGTGGCCAGGTATCGATAAACAAATAGAAGCCTGGGTGGCCACACGCAACAAGTGCCAGGAAATCCGCGCTGCCCCACCGAAGGCACCTCCAGCTGAATGGGATCCACCTCGTGGCCCCTGGTCCCGCATCCACATTGATTTTGCGGGACCCACCAAGGGACACACTTTTCTAATAACGGTAGATGCCTATTCAAACTGGCTCGAAGTCCACAAAATGAAAAGCACCACAACAGAAGCCGTCGTTAAAAAGTTAAATAGACTATTCGCTACGCACGGACTGCTGGATGTTTTAGTCTCGGATAATGGCCCCCAGTTCACTGCCCTTGCATTCGAGCAATACCTAGCGGACCGGGGCATCCGCCATGCCTTAACTTCGCCGGCTCACCCTGCGGCCAATGGCAGGGCCGAGCGTAAGGTACAATTCATTAAAAAAACATTGCACAAAATGGAACATGGCGATATTGACGACAAGATAAACAGGATGCTTCTTCTTCAACACATCACGCCGCACAGCACCACGAACAGAACCCCGGCCGAACTCTTGATGGGCTGGAAACTTCGCTCACACCTCGATAGCCTACACCCAACCTACACGCCAGAAAAACCTTGCGGTTCCAGCAGCAAGTGTCGTGCATTCAAGGTAGGCGATTTAGTTTTTGCGAAAAACTTCTCGGCTGACCCATTGTGGGTCCCCGCTACCATCACGCAGCTAACAGGCCCCAGATCGTACCGTTTGCAGACTAATGACGGCAAACTGTGGAAGCGCCATATAGACCAACTTCGTTCCCGTTTGGCGCCTAACTCTCTCTCACCCCCTGATTTTCCAGCTGGGGGGGGAAGGGAAGACGAGGGGGCTGAAATAGAAATAACAGAGGACCCAATCAGTGAAGCCCAGCAGACTGTACAACCAGCCAGGGGATACTCACCACCCGACGGAAGCCCGAGCCGGGGGATGGCCTCGCCACATAGCAGCCCAGTCAGGGAAGCAAGCCCAGAGAACCCAGAAAACAACCAAGAAAACAGCCTTGATTCACCCAGCGAGACAGTAGAACCGTCGTCACCACCCGGTTCTACAAACGATCCACCAGAACCTGAACGGAAACCAGTAGAACAGCGGAAATCGAACAGGCAGGTGAAACGGCCTGCCTATTTGTGAGAATATGTCACCCCACCCCTCAGACGGAACCTAGGGGGGAGGGGTGTTACGAACTAACTAAATAAACTCATTATTAAAAACTCTTCGAACTTCGCTCCAACTGCAGGCTCGTAATCCTGCACTTCAGATTGGCCCGCAAGTAAGCGATCAATGATTGGCTGCCTTCGGCTAACCTGATTGGCTGACAGCGGCCATCCCTGATTGGAAGACTAAGTGCGGTTAAACTCGTTCCCATTGGTTATTGCAGCAGCAGCCAGCTCTATAAAAGAGCTGCTGCTGCCCAAGTGTTTTGCTCTGTTCTGATGTCACTATTAAAGAGTTGAGTCACTACCGATGCCTTGTCTCCGTTATTGCGCCCACTCCTCCAGATCTAACATCCCCCTGATAAAGAACAGCTCCAGAGGTGGTTTCTCCTTTTTGCTCTTTTCCAGAAAAAAAGAAAACCCTGCACCCAAGGGCTGAATGACTGCAAAAAAAAAAAAAAAACCCCAAGAACATTTGAAGGTTATTCTAAAAAGGTACTTCAGAGCACACGAATGCTGCACCCCAGTAACTTTTTAAAGCAGCTGCATCATTTACATAATATCCACACAGCAGCTGCACAATCTGTCACTTAAAGGTTATATCTATTTGTCCATAATTTTAGACCATCCCAGCCTTACTGACAGGCAAACCAACAAGGGTATCTTATTAAATTAAAAAATGTATTCAACTTAATACCAATATCAGAAAACACTTTAAAAATACGCAAAAGGTTGCTTTTAGCTCCGCTCATTTATTTTCAGTTAATTTCTTCTATTTTCATTAAGGCACTCAAAGCCATTTAAAATCCTAAAACAAACTACTATTGCTATAGTTTGCCTGTGGTTAAGGTTTCCGGAATTTAGCAAGCAATTTTCTATTAGAAATAAATGTCTTCATCTTCTACTTTCAACTACCAAAAGAAGAGTTGGTGGATTATTACTGCATTGGTGGATTATTTCTGGATTCAAGAGTAACACCTAGGACCGTGATGGCAAACCTATGGCACACGTGCCAGAGGTGGCACACAGAGCCCTCTCTGTGAGCACATGCACCGTTGCCAGCTGCTCTTCTGGTTTCTGGTATTCCGGGGAGCCAGGGAGCCAGAAAATGGCCTGGAAAACAGCTGGAAAATGGCTCCCAACAGCCGGAAAATGGCCCCCAAAATGGCCTGGAAAACAGCCTGAAAACGGCCCCAGTCATTTTTTGGGCCATTTTCTGGCCAAAAATGGTCTGAGAAATGCCCCCCCAAATGGCCAAAAAACAGGCATGCACATACCAGCCAGCTGGTCTTCAGGTTTCTGGCACTCTGGCACGCACATTCGGGTTTGGGCACTCGGTGCCGAAAAGGTTCGCCATCAATGACCTATGAGATGGGCAAGGATCCCTGACAAAGCTTGTTGTAACTCCCTTAGCCTGTTTCTAGATGAAGCACTCTTACCAGTGGTGGGATTCAAATTGTTTTACTACCGGTTCTGTGGGTGTGGCTTGGTGGGAATGGCAGGGGAAGGATACTGTAAAATCTCCAGTCAGAGGTGGTATTTGCCGATTCTCTGCACTACTCAAAATTTCCGCTACTGGCTCTCCAGAACTGGTCAGAACCTGCTGAATACCCACCTCTGACACCTTTGGGATTGGGGTAGGCAACCTGTAACCTTGCAACTGTTTATGTTTTAGTCTGGGCCTCACTTCAAAGGTTTCAGTGAGTATAAATTCAGACCTCCAACCAAAGGGACTCCTTCCTCTCTAGCAGCCTGTAGGACAAGAAGCTCAAGGGAGAGAAAAAGAAGAGATTGTGCTGTCCCCACTTTTAGTTTGGCATCTTACCGACCACTAGCTTCATCCCCACGCCATTTTCTCTCCCCAGCAGTTTAACCCCCCCCCCCCAAGGAAATTCAGCCTTCAATATAAAACAACCAACAACAAAAGGAGACCCCCATTTTTCTGACCTGTGCACAGTATCTTGGGCCTGCTGCTGCCAAGCCTCATTGTGAAGAAAATAACAGATGGCATGAGCATGAGTGAAAAACTCTGTGTACACGCCAAAAGCCACTGGATCCATGTGCTGTGTGCAGTCACGGATGGAGCTACCAATTTCACAGGGTGGGAACTTCCTCCCAGACCTGTCAAGGAAAAGATAAAAACGTAGTTTTGTTGGGGAGAAACTATACAGCCAAAGGAGGGGGGGGGGGAAACAGGGGAGGGGGAATAATCCTCTTCTATGAAAAGGTGGTTTCCCTGGTTATACAACAGAAGCCCTCTGCCCCACTCTCTTCCATGAGTTTTCAAGGGAAGTAGCACAGCAGTCTCAGCTTGTGTCATTCCATAAATCAGAATGTTTATTAACAGAACTACATAAAGCTTAAACATTTAGCTGAAATCTTTGGTATTCATGATTTAGTACAAGGGTCCCCAAACTTGGCAACATTAAGACTTGTGAATTTTAACTCCCAAACTTCTGGCTGGAGAATTCTGGGAGTTGAAGTCCACAAATCTTAAAGTTGCCAAGTTTGGGGACCTCTGATTTAGTATGAGATTACTGAATCAAAATGCACTCCGTTAGCTTCCTCTAGCCACAGCTAAAGTGTTCTGAAGCTTGTTCTCACTGTTGTTGTATATTAATCCAACTGTTAGATGACCTCAGAAGTTATTTGCATTTTATTCCTGGCTCAAGGGAAAGAGAATGTATTGGTCTTAGAAGACCATTAGGCAACCATAAAGTCTATGCAACTTGTTAGGCACTGTCGCCATTGAAAGAAGCCAGATGACTTGGTATGGGCCAGAAATAAGGAGACCAAATTTCACACCAGTATAGTTTTCTGCTGGCCCATGAATGGGCAAAAAGCACTTCAAATTGAAGATAAGAGAGAAGCCCTATGCTTTGACTCTGTTCTTCACCCCTTCCAATTCCACATTCTCTGAGTAGATTAAAAATGATCTCAGTAAAGGTTCTTGTTTATCACTGCTCAACAGCATACACCCAGAGCTGTACCCTACTCTAATGTCAAGGGTGCTTAGTAAAGGGAGCAGCTACAATAGATGAAAACATACCTGCCCATCCCTTTGCAGTTGAAAGGACAGGAATACTGAGAAAGGAGTAGAATTTTAACTTTGCTTCCTCCACCCTGTGATTAAACCCAGATTCTAGACTCCCTCGGTTTAGAAGCTTGACTCACCGCTGTAGGTGGCAATGAGCAAATGCCAGTGCAATATGGCTTTGCTGTTCCTCATTCAACTCCTTGCACCCACCATCCAATTGTCTCAAGGCCTCCATCCAACAAGGTCCATATCGTGGGTGTCGGGCTAGTTCTTGAACCCATTGCAGGTGGCTCCTGCCTTGAGACAGAAGCCCTGGATCTGGAGAATATAAATCACAAGCAATGAAGCAGAAGAAAAACAGCAACAGGCTGGCTGGAGGGTACCACATGGTAGGAACCACTGCAGCAAAGCAGTCAGTCAGATAAACTAGCCAAAATGAGTTGAAGCTGCTGATGGAAGTTTGGGTGGGTGTCTTCCAGGGTGGAGCACCTGAGAGAGAGGGAAATGAAAGCCTTCAAATGATTATAGGAACTTGGCTAAAGGATGTCTGTTTGGCTTTACTCTTAATCACACCATAGGACTTGTTTTGCATTTGGTTCTACTAGGTAGCAGAACAGCCATAACATAGTCAAGTGTGGTTTGTTTTTTTCTCCCGTGTCTCTGTTTTTCACCCTTCTAGTTTGTAAATTACAGTTAATCACTTATATATCCAGTTGTGGTTTAATCAATAACTGCTGTGCAAGCAGTTACAGTAAAATCTGTATGGCCTGAACTAGTGTTATGTTACACTATACTCTTTACAATATAGTATAATATATTTAACTACACTATCAAGTATTTAGAATATAGATTGCTCGGAGATACAGGGAAAGTTGTTAGTATTTTTCCTATTTTTATGCTTTTTAAAAATAGTGACATGGAGAGGATGGACTGATCTAGAATCAAAGTCTCTCTATTACTTAACATTTATTAAATAATAAACTACAGTGGTTAAGTCAAACTCAAACTACATTATCAAATGAATAAAGTAATCATGGTATGTTATGAAATACCTTGTGGATATGTGTTATGTGAACACAGCCAAAATGGTTTGTTAACCATGATTTATGCTTTAGCTTGTGTTAATGGAGCCAGCATAATATAAAAATAGTTAATGAGGATAGGTGGAAACTGAAAATTGTTAAATATTTTTCACTGGTAGATAAGTACTTGAAGTTTTTGTTTCTAAAATGAGTGTATAAATCTTTCTGGGAGTAACTCAGCTATACTCCTTGCCTTGCCTAGCGGTTTTCCAGCTATGTTCTGAGAAAGAGTTCTATGAAATTAAGAGTTATAAAAGCCAATTTTCTATCACGAGCTTTGCCTCTTGATCAGGGTTTCCATTTTTTTTTTAATATAACAAACATGTTTCATTGTCTGGAAAAGTTTGAAAATCCCTGGACAATACTACTTGATCTATTTCCTACTGGTTCCCTAATTCAAGTGATATTTGCTGCCCTCTAGTGAATACACTTTTTTTTATTTTAAAAAATCCCCTTTTCTTAAATGAATCAAAACAAGAGGGGGGGGAAAGGGATATCCATAAACACCTTAAACCTGGAATTCAAATTTGTGGATATTAAGTTGTAAAGTTTTTCATTCACTCTTGTAACACTAGGAAAAATGCAAGTAGGGTACTGCTGAAAAATGTCTGCATACAGAGGTGACCCAATTTACAGAGCTACTGATTCCACATATCATAAACAAGTCTGTGAACATCCATCTTAGAGTGTAAGTCCGTCAGCCAGATTTTCTTCCAAGCATCTATACACAAGATCCAGATTCATGAATTTGTATGAGGCATGCATATCAAAGTCACATATTGTATGTTTTTATCACATCTATATACTCTATTTATGTTTGCAGTATTTTTATTTCAGCTTTCTTTCCCTGAAATGGTATCCTACAGCTATTTGTCCTACAATCCTCATCTCAGCCATTGTGGTCATAATTAGGTTGGATGTGAATTTTAGCCTGCATATCAAGAAATCAGGGAAAGTGGCTCTATTTTATTTCCAGCTTCTAAATACTATAAGGGTTAGGCCTGATTCAAAGAACGTTCAAGTATATTCAACTTTGATTTATTTAATAAACCACAATTTGGCTAGATCAGGGGTGTCAAACTCATATCATCACAGCTTCGTCACGGGACATATCGGGACTTTCCCCCCCTTCGCTAAATCGGGCGTGGATATGGCCAGCATGTGACATCCAGCTTGTGGGCCGAGAGTTTCACAGCCCTGGGCTAGATTCATCTAAAATGCTAGCTAATGATTTGCTGGGTTTATACAATATATCCTAAGCCAAATAACTGTCAGATACAATCTGACAAAATATTGAACCGTGATCTACAAATCAATGGATTAACATGTTATTACATCCAAGGGAGGTTGAACAATTGAAACATATAGTATGAACTCTTAAACAAAACTTAATACTTTTGGTAACCTCATAATAATATGCTAGGAGAGGTGTGGTATGCAGTTTCTTCTTTCTCTAAAATGTAGTACATAACAAACATTCTTCTAAAATGTAAAGATAATAATGCAGTTGTCTCTGGTTCATGTAACACATACATTGAACAGTTAGTGCTGTTACTAAAATTCTCCAATAGGGTAAAACACTGAACCAAGGTAAGCAAAATGTTCCTTATATATACAAGTGAGACTGAACACATAACAATATGCCAGAGTTTGATGAGTATAATTGGTTACAATCATATCTGTCATATGCTATGGTTCACAAACCACAACATCTATTATGGTTCAGATATGTGAACCAGATTTAACATAAGCATATTTGCACACAAACCCAATTTGAATTAATTTACATCAAGTGCTCTCCCTTTCTAGTTGTTACTATACTATTGGTGTTGGAAGAAATATCCTTCTGGGTTCAGCTCCAAGTGGGGAAAAAGACACTGGATTCATGGAAGTTGCTTGGAAAGAAGGTAGACAGGACCACATGCCTTGGGGAGAGATGCTGAGAGTCCCTTGGTTTTATCCCCTCTGTTGGGCCCCACCTTAGTGTTTCCTGTTCTTGTGTAAGAAATGTACCCCATTGGCTGTCAGACTCCCAGGAGTGGGGGTCTTAGCTAACTTTGTAGGCTTTTTCTGGATCACATGGCTTCACCTGAATGCTGGCTGATGAAATCTTCCCAAGCCATGTGGTGAGACAAGAGGAGGCCTTTGTTATGTAGAATACTCTGGCCTAGGCCCATTAACAAAGGTGGGGGTGAGCTTCTGCTTCTGAGGTGAGTTTCTGCTTCTGATTTTCTACTTCTCTTTTTAGGGGAAATATTCTGCCTTTTTAATATTTCCTAGGATATTTCATTTTTCTAGGAGAGGGGTGGGTTTTAACTTCCAACATTGGAATGCGCAGGTTAGAAGTATTTAACATCAATTTGTGTTGGACATCTTTCATGATTACATTTATTTATTTATTATTTAATTATTTAATTTATACTGCCGCCTAATCGTCCATGTCAACTCGAGGCAGCTTACACAATGTAAAACCATATTAAAAACAAAAAATTAAAATTAAAACCAACAAAAAGAATCAAATAAATTAATAAAGTACAATAAAACAAAATCTAGAAAAAATAATAAAAAAATAAAAAATCACCTAACTCCCACCCTGACAACAGCAGATCACGCTAGCCATTTGATGGGCTCCATCCCTCTCTGGGTTCCCCAGGCCCATTGGCAAAACCAGGTCTTCAGTGCCTTCTGGAAGAGTGCTGGAGTGGGGGCCATTCTAGTCTCTGGGGGAATGATATTCCAGAGAGAGGGAGCCACCACAGAGAAGGCCCTTCTTCTGGGTCCCACCAGGTATATCTCCCTCAGGGGTGGGACCCTCAGCATTCCCTGCCTCCCCGGGAAGTGAGTAGGGCATGAGTGACTGTGAGTAGGGACTGTTGGTAACTGGTGCACAGCCCGCAGTTGCGCAAAGGCCCTCCTGACCACGACCGCCACCTGCTCTTTGAGTAGGAATCGTGAGTCCAGGAAAACCCCTAGATTACGCACGGGGTCTGTTTGGGGTAGTACCACCCCATCCAAGACTAAAGGTGGTAACTCTCCCTGAGCCAACGAACCCCAAACCCAGAGCCACCTGGTCTTGCAAGGGTTTAGTTTCAACCCCTTGCTCCCCATCCATCCCCTAACAGCCTCCAGGCACTGTGAGAGGGAGGACACAGCAACACTGAGCTCACCATGGGCCAAGACATACAGCTGAGTATCATCAGCATATTGGTGATACCTCAGTCCATGGTGACAGTTGATCTCACCCAGCGGCTTCATATAAATGTTGAACAGGAGTGGAGAGAGTACTGAGCCCTGCGGAACCCCAGTGGGCGTGGGTTGGATCTCTCCCCTCCTATCAACACTGAGAGTGGCCGCAGAGGAAGAAAGTGAACCAAGACAGCACAAGGTCTCCTGCTCCCATCCCCCAACCCCCCCCCCCCCCCCCTTGAGAATCCCATGGTCAATGGTATCAAAAGCCACTGAGACGTCAAGTAAAGCAAGGATGGATGCACTACTCCCATCCTGCTCCTGCCAGAGATCATCCAAAAGTGCAACCAATGCAATTTCTGTCCCAAATCCGGCCCTGAACTCCATAGGGATCGAGATAATCCATTTCATCCAGAAACCTCTGGAGCTGCTGTGCGACCACCTTCACAACAACCTTCCCCAAAAAGGGAAGATTGGAGACAGGTCGGAAATTATCCAACTGGGTGGAGTCCAGCGATGGTTTCTTAAGAAGGCGAACCACAAGTGCTGGGGCACCATCCCCTCCTGTAGAGACACATCAATCACCGCCAGAGTCCACACTATTTACCTGGAAACCATTTACTATTATTTTAATAGTAAAATCTGTTTAGAAGGAAAACACCTGCACACTGCAAGTAATATTTGTTGAAGATAATGGAAGATAATGCAAAAAGGCTAAGATGACTGTATGGCACTTGATCAATCTGGTTAAACAAGTTTTTGTTCGTTTCAAAAAGCTACAAAGCTAGATTGGTCAACCAACTGGTTAGGAATGTGTTTGTATTACCAGAAATAATAGCTTCCAAGTGCCTACAACTTGCATTAATTAAAAGAGCAATGTTTCCTCCCATCTGTTACTTCAGTAGACCTTATAATGTATAACTCGTAAAATTACGTGTTCGGAATTATCATTTTAGATTATAGAAAAATATTTATCAGCTATGAAGTTGGACCAATTTTAAAAAAATCCTCAGAGATTTGAATACTTTAAAACTACCCTTCTAAAAAAGTTGCAATTCGTGCCAGGCACTTCCAAGGCTACCGTTTAATTTTACATAGATATAACTTGATAAAAGTTAGT